TATGGCAGTGGAGATCCAGCCAGCCAGAGCTTTCCAAACTGTGTGACATGGCATATTTGTGTGTCGGCTGCCATGTGTAGGTGTATCACGCGAGCATATTGAAAAACTTCTGAAATAAAATCAGCAATAAATCATATATTTTAAAAAATACAAATGAAAGATATTCTTGAGATGTGTTGTGTCCCCATACATTTTGCTATTACAATTTATGTATGCATCCATAACTCTGATAACGGGTTGGTTATTGTGTCGTGAAATGATGGAGGTCAAAAAAGTGTGTCACCAACATGAAATGTTTGGAAAGCTCTGACCTAAGATTTATTATGTTTAAATGAGGCTCCATTCACACAGCAGTATAAAATTGATTGATTGATTCATTCATCCATTTATATTCCACCCTTCTCACCCCACAGGGGACTCAGGGTGGATTACAATGCACATATACATGGCAGACATTCAATGCCATAGACATACAACATATATAGATAGAAACAGAGGCAATTTAACATTCCAGCTTTTCAGGCTTCATGAGGGTACGCTCGATTCTGGCCACAAGGGTAGCTGCCGCTTCACCATCCACTTGTGACACTGAGTCCTTTGATGGAGTACTTCCTCATTCTTCCATACACTGCTGGAAGGATTTATGGTGTCGTAAATTAGTTAAATTAGCCTCCCCGCATAAAGTGGTACCTAAATTTCCTACTTGACAGATGCAACTACCTTTTGGGCTGCCTAGGTCAACAGGAAGCTAGACTATTAATGGTCGGGCGCTCACTCCAACCCAGGCTGGCTTTGAACTCATGACCTCTTCGTTAGTAGTGATTTAATGCAGCTGGCTACTAACTAGCTGCATCACAGAACAGTCCCACATTAAAATCCCTCATTATCTGCTTTGAACTGGAATATATGTCAGTGTGAACTCTGATATCCCAGTTCAAAACAGATATTGTTGAACACTTCCCAAGCGTCTAGGACTGTGTGATGTATTTTTGAATGATGTGTTGTTGTTGTTGTTGCTATTATTACTATGGTTCTCTGTCTTTTGGTTTTACTCTTACCAAGACTATTAGATATGTAAGGCTGAGATCACTGGTCTTTCACATTCAATAGGTATTTGAAGCCAGACTTCTCTGATCCTAATTGGCCCCTTTTAAAAAGTTTGGTTCAACTTGCTTTAAGCCCAGGTTCTTTTTTCTATTCTCCCCGTTATTGTCTTCTATTCTCCCCAGTAGCAAGAAATGATTACAACACAAATGACACCAAGGTAGTCAATAATTTTGGGTCACAACAGTATAATTATGTAACTTTGCTTTCTTTACAGAGTCAGAATTGTTTCTTCACTTTGTTTCTCTTCCCATTGAAAAAAGCAGATTATATGAAGGAACTGTGAACCAGAGCCCCTTATATACTGCCATATAATCCAGATTATCAAATCAGATAATCAACATTATCTGCGTTGAACTCGACTATATGAGTTGACACTGCTGTATAATCCAATTCAAAGAAGATAATCTGGATTTCATATGGCAATATAGAAGGGGCCCTGATGACCATAACAAGGGAGTATACTCCAAGTAGAACAAACCCCATGTATAGCTTAGAGCTTGTGAAAGGTTTTGTTTGGACTACAACTTCCAGAGTCCCCCAAACAAAATGTCCATTGGTGGAAGTTGTATTCCAAAACCACCCCACATCATCTATATAAATAAAAATGTAATGTTAGTTTGTGTAATTAACATAACTCAAAAACCACTGGACGAATTGACACCAAATTTGGACACAATACACCTATTAGGCTAAAGAGTGACCATCACTCATAAGAAAGAAAGAGGGAGGGAGGGAAGATAGGCCACAACAACGTGTGGTGAGTTCAGCTAGTAATAACATAAAACAATTAGAACAAGATTAAAACACAATACTAATAAAATGTAAATATCAAAAGTCACAGTTTCAAATTGACAAAATCCTTCTCCAGATATGTTGAACTAATGGTTCCACCGGCATGGTCCTTAGAAGGCAGAAGGGTGGAAAAGCAACGTTCTGGAGATGCCACTTTGAGTGATCAAATACTATTCAGTGCTGTAGCTTTGGCTCCCCCTGCTGGTAGCCAGGAGGCATTGTTAGGCAGAAATCCCCAAATGAGGTTCAACCCAACATGAACTCAAGACCCTCCATGTCATTTTATGTTGCTATACTGCAACTCCTGTTAGACCTCAGGACTAGAGCTAATGGGAGTCGTGACACAGTCACATCTGGAAGGCTGCCGCTTGTTCTGTTTATCCAGGTGTGTGGAGTATGGATTTACAAACCAACCTTGTTAATATGATGCCTGTCATTGAAAGGTCCTTTAACCATGCTCCAACCTAAGAACCAGAAGTACTGTTTGAATGCATGTCCCATTATCCCCAGTCTTCAGGAAATAAAGCCCAACTGCTCATTGGAGGGAAGGATAGTATAGGAAAAGACGAAGTACTTTGACCACATCGTGAGAAGAAAGGAAAGCTTAGAGAAGACAATGATGCTGGGGAAAATGGAAGGAAAAAGGAAGAGGGGCCAACCAAGGGCAAGATGGATGGATGGCATCCTTGAAGTGACTGGATTGACATTGAAGGAGCGGGGGGTGGTGCCGGCCGACAGGGAGCTCTGGCGTGGGCTGGTCCGTGAGGTCACAAAGAGTCGGAAACGACTGAACGAATGAACAACAAAAACATGGTGGATAATCTAAAGTGATGGGAGTTGTAATTCAATAACATCAGGGGGCCCAAACTGGGTAAAAACTAAAGAGCACTGACCATATATAAAATATATATAGTTGGCCCTCCTTATCCACAGATTATCCATCCATATATCCAACAACCGTTTGAAGGCAACCATAAAACTGATGTGGCCCTTGATGAAAATTAGTTTGACTGCTGTAAACAAGGAAATGGGCATTATTATTATTATTATTATTATTATTATTATTATTTTATAAATTTTATTAAGGGATTTTTTTACAACATACATGGGGGGGAGATGAAAAAGATGAAAATAGAAAAGTAAGATAAATAAAATAAAAATGATTATTAAAAAGGGGGGGGGAGGGGAACTCCAGGGTAAATCCAGGTAAATGGAGATGGGATAGGAAAAAGAGTACAGGAGGGGGAGGGTAAAATTTGGGAATAAAGGGGGAGGGGTAGAAGAAAAAAAGAGTAATAAAGGGGGTGGTTTCTTCCATTTCGCTTCATAGTGGATTATCTATATAAGTTTTTGTTCTTGGTTTCTTCAACTTTGTCCTTTTTCTCTTCCTTCTCCCAGTGGTGAAGGAATCCCACTTTTCCTTCGAAATTAGGACCCAAGGTGACTTAAGTAAAAGATGTGAATAATATGATCCTCAAATTCCCAGACATCACATGAATAATAGCAAACCCTGTTATTTTCAATTAGATGAAAGATGGAAATACCAAGAAGATGGTGAAATTTGTACAGGAGACCCTAAGTGAATAAGTGGAACTAATGTACATCGTTCTGTGGATGTGGGAGTTACATAGTATGTCAAAGGTGGAAGTCCTTATGCTGAAAAGTATGTTCCTATGAGACTATCTCGGCAATGTTGAGATAACTGCTATACTAACTTTGAGGTGTACAAAACATAATGAGCCCTTGATTCCACTGGAGTTTGGTCCCAGGAGCCTTATGGATACCAAAATCCTTGGATGCCTAAGTCCCTTTATACAAAATGGCATAATAAAATGACCCTTATATAATTGGGGAATAATTCAAATAAATGCCAGAGTGAACTTGAGGAGATATGAAATGGCAGAAGGCAACAGCAGGGTATGGCCACACATTATTTAGCCTAGTGCTCAGTGCATTGCAAAATCAAACTTTGTTTTTCAGGGGTTCCCCCCCCCCCAAATATTTTTAAGCCATAATAAGTTGATGCTATGGATGCAGAGTCTGTGGATAAAAACTGTAACAACTAAAACATTTTTATTGTTTTTGTTGCAATTTGATCTTGAACGTATCTTGTTTTTACTGACAAATACTTTGTACCCTCCAAAACCAGTGGCATTACTGACTCAGTGACTGTTTCATAGCATTTCTCTCATGTCCCTCAGTGGTGCAATGGGTTAAACCCTTGTGCCGACTGGACTGCTGACTGAAAGGTCAGCAGTTCAAATCCAGGAAGTGGGGTGAGCTCCTGCCTGTCAGCTCCAGCTTCCCATGCAAGGACATGAGAGAAACCTCCCACAGGATGGTAAAATATCGGGGTGTCCCCTGGGCAACATCCCTGCAGACGGCCAATTCTCTCACACCAGACTTCTCAAGTCGCTCCTGACACGAAAAAAAAATTACTTGAATTACTCATAGATAGTATATGTTGAACATATGTGAAGTCAGGTAACCTGTACATAAATTGGATCACTGGGTTACATTGTCTATGTCTACATATTCAGGCAATTGGATGTGGACTATTTTTTGTGATCCCATTTTCCTTGTAATTCTTCTTTGTGTAGCAACAAACTGGCTGAGTTGGATGTCCTGAAAATCTCTAAGAGTGACAATTCTCTTTTTGAATATGTTGCAGACCATTCCTTTTTAACATCAAGAAACTTTGTTTGTTTACAATTGGAAATGAACATCTAACTGTTTTTTGTTTGCTTGCTTTCTAAGTTTTTTTGTGAGGGAGATAGCAGTCTGGGTGGCCATCAAAGGGATCCAAAGACTCAAGATCCACTAGAGTTATCCATCCTGATTTATACTTTCTGCAGCCAAAGTCTCTCCAGCCTATCAGGCTGGCATCTTTCTCCGCTCTATCTGGATATCCATGGGGTTGGATCAGGGACCTTCTGCAAATAATGCATGAGACCTGTTACTTTGCGGCAGCAGAGCACTGTCAGCTACCTAGAATTCAGAATAAAGTGGGAACACTTGCAGAGCCACCATATTAACGGTGGTATATTCTTGGATGCTGGTCTCTCTGCCTGACCTCTGTGATTGCATTCTGTCTCTTGCAGATCTGGATCTCTCAGTGGAAAGAGTGCTACCCCCGACCCACCGTACCAGATGTTCCCCTGACTGCATTTAGCCTCCAATGAATCATGTTCAATCCGATGAACCCGCCAGTGAACAACTATGCGGAGCATTGCTATCTTCGGCCCCTCCATGGGCAAGGGCAACCCAGCGGTCTGGTGGAAGGTCAGTCCCACAGCAACAACAGGACCCCAGAGATTATGAGTGACACTGTCTAGTGCTCTCTCCAGATACATGCTCCATCTCTTTGCCTGTCTTTTCCACAGTTTACAAGAGTAGATTTGGATTTATAAGATTAGCCAAAACAACATACTCCATGCACCCACAAGAAAGGAAATACTTGCAGATTTGCAGGACTCCGAGAGTGGCACACAAACAAACCAGCCCTAAGAGAAGGAAAGGCTTTTTTTTTTTTTACAGTATTTATATTCCACCCTTCCCACCCTACATGGGACTCAGGGTGGATTACAATGTACATTCACCGAGGAGCTGGCAGCGTTGAAGCGAAAGAAGAGGGAACTAGAGAGCGTGTGGCGTTCGGATCCGAGCGAGCCAAATCGAACACGGTTTGTGTCCTTTTTAAGGGCATATGCCGCGGCAATAAAAGCCGCAAAGAAGACTTTCTTTGCGGCCACTATTGCGTCTGCAAAGAACCGTCCGGCTGAACTGTTCCGAGTTGTCAGAGGCCTGTTAAAACCCACCACTCAGGATGGGTGCCCTGATGACTCGGCAGCTCGCTGTGAAGCTTTTGCTCAGTTCTTTGCAGACAAAGTCGCTTTGATCCGCTCTGGTCTGGATACCATATTAACGGCAGTCTCTGAGGATGTAACACGAGCATCTGCTTGTCCGGTTTTGATGGATTCATTTCAATTGGTGCAACCCGAGGATGTGGACAAGGTGCTTGGAGGAATGAGAGCTACCACATGCATCCTAGACCCCTGCCCATCCTGGCTTCTGAAGGAGGCCAGAGGGGGATTGGCCGAGTGGGTGAAGGTGGTGGTTAATGCCTCCCTTCAGGAGGGCAATATTCCAGCCAGCTTAAAACAAGCTGTGATAAAACCGCTGTTGAAGAAACCATCACTGGACCCCACTCAATTCGTCAACTATCGGCCTGTTTCCAATCTCCCCTTTTTGGGCAAAGTCATGGAACGTGTGGTGGCCTCACAACTCCAGGCATTCTTGGTAGACACGGATTATCTGGATCCGGCACAGTCTGGCTTTAGGCCGGGACATGGTACCGAGAAAGCCTTGGTCGCCTTAGTGGATGATCTGCGCCGGGAGCTCGACAGGGGGAGTGTGTCCCTGTTGGTGCTGCTCGACCTCTCAGCGGCCTTCGATACCGTCGACCACGGTATCCTTCTGGGACGCCTCGCGGGGAGGGGTCTTGGAGGTACTGTTCTGCAGTGGCTCCGCTCATTCCTCGAGGGTCGGTCTCAGAAGGTGTTACTGGGAGACTCCTGTTCAACCCCACAACCTTTGTCTTGTGGGGTTCCTCAGGGTTCAATACTGTCTCCCATGTTGTTTAACATCTACATGAAGCCGCTGGGCGAGATCATCCGGAGTTTCGGAATGCGATGTCATCTGTACGCAGATGATGTCCAACTCTGTCACTCCTTTCCACCTGCTACTAAGGAGGCTGTCGAGGTCCTGAACCGGTGCTTGGCCGCTGGATGGGGGCGAACAAATTGAAATTGAATCCAGACAAGACAGAGGTACTCCTGGTTAGTCGCAAGGCCGAACAGGGCATAGGGTTACAGCCTGTGCTGGACGGGGTTCCACTCCCCCTGAAGACGCAGGTTCGCAGCTTGGGAGTGATCCTGGACTCATCGCTGAGCCTGGAACCCCAGTTTCGGCGGTGGTCAGGGGAGCTTTTGCACAATTAAAACTTGTGCGCCAGCTGCGCCCGTACCTTGGGAAGTCTGACTTGGCCACGGTAGCCCACGCTCTGGTTACATCCCGTCTTGACTACTGCAACGCTCTCTACGTGGGGTTGCCTTTGAAGACGGCTCGGAAGCTCCAATTAGTCCAACGGGCGGCAGCCATGATACTAACCGGAGCGGGGCGCAGGGAGCATACAACTCCTCTGCTGTACCAGCTCCACTGGCTGCCGATTTGCTACCGGGCCCAATTCAAAGTGCTGGCGCTGGCCTTTAAAGCCCTAAACGGTTCTGGCCCAACTTATCTATCCGAACGTATCTCGGCCTATCAGCCCACCAGGACCCTAAGATCTTCTGGGGAGGCCCTGCTCTCTATCCCGCCTGCTTCACAGGTGCGGCTGGCGGGAACGAGAGACAGGGCCTTTTCTGTGGTGGCCCCTCGGCTTTGGAATGCCCTCCCCATAGAGGTGAGATCAGCCCCTTCGCTGATGGTATTTCGAAAAAGGTTGAAGACATGGATGTTTAAACAAGCATTCGATTAATCTGGTGCAACGAAACTGATGAACAAGGATTGGTTAATCACAGACGACGAAATTGGATTGCGACTACAATTAAGAGATGCATTGGATTATTATTGGTGGCCCAATAATATTGTGTATTGTGTATGTGTTTTTATGCTTTTTAATGGAATATTGCTGCTTGTCGTTGTGTTGTAAACCGCGTTGAGTCGCCGATTTAGGCTGAGAAACGGCGGTATATAAGCACAGTAATAAATAAATAAATAATAAATAAATAAATATACATGGCAAGCATTCAATGCCATAGACACACAACATATACAGACAGACACACAGGCAATTTAGCAGTCCAACTTTTCATGAGGGTATTCTGGCCACCAGGGGAGCTGTCGCTTCACTGTCCATTTGTGACACTGATGAAGTACTTCCTCATTCTTTGCAGGATTGCTGGAGATTTTTATGGCATCGTAAATTAGTTAAATTAGCCTCCCTGCATAGGCAGTACCTAAATTTCCTACTTGACAGATGCAACTGTCTTTCGGGCTGCAAAGGTCAACAGCAAGCTACACAAATTTCTTCCACACAGCATAGTGTAGTGGTTCCAAACCTTTTTTTTTTTTACCAGGGACCACTTGACCAGGGAACCCTTTGACCAGGGACAACTCTCCAACATTACTACCAAAAGAATTATGAATCAGTTTTTAGTCAACTTTAGATTTGGTTTGGTTGTGGTGCTGATTCAGAAAATTGCATTGGATAGACCACAACAACTCTAGTTTCTGATACAGAACATATGCCATCCAGTAGTCACCATCTGCTCACCCGCAGAAAACCATATTTAATAAGCCTTGGCACTATAAGAGGGTTTTGCGAGACCACTCGCTCTCGTTGCGATGGTGTAGTAACAGTGAGGCTGCAGACCATATTTTAGTTTTTGTGAACCACTGGTGGTCCACGGACCACAGGTTGGGAACCTAGTGAGAATTGACAAGGGGTGTTAAGGAGAGTTTAGACAAAGATGTGGGTAAAATCAGTGATGATGGGAAATGCATCAATGCAACTCCTGTACTTAAAAAAGGAGCATTCCACAGTACCATAACATTTCACTTCTGGCCTATATGATCATATTTATTTATTCATTCATTCATTCATTTACAGTATTTATATTCTGCCCTTCTCACCGCACAGGGGACTCAGGGCGGATTACAATGTACATATATATGGCAAACATTCACTGCTATAGACAGACACAGCTTTCATGAGGGTATTCTGGCCACCAGGGGAGCCTGTTGCTTCACCGTCCATTTGTGACACCGATGGAGTACTTCCTCATTCTTTTTTGCTTGCTTGCTGGAGATTTTATGGCATTGTAAATTAGTTAAATTAGTCTCCCAGCATAAATGATGCCTAAATTTCCTACTTGACAGATACAATGATCTTTCGGACTGCAAAGGTCGACATCAAGCTACACAAAGGTCGGAAGCTCACTCCGACTTGGGCTGGCTTCGAACTCATGATCTTTCGGTCAGTAGTGATCTTAATGCAGCTGACTCCCAACCAGCTGCGCCACAGTCCTGTAATAGCTAAATAGATTTGTTTATTGATTAGTCCACTGACCATATCAACAACAAAGGACAAAACCAAAAAATACACAGATAAATAGACACTAATCACTAATCTAAAACTCCTATAACAGTTAACTAAAATAAATTAAAGCATAATCAAACTTGATTAAGTAATAAGTTTGGTAAACTGAGATTAAATAACAAGATGAAAGCAGGGGAAGTAGAGTGATGAGTGTCAAAGAATCAGTCGGAAAGTTTAGTTCATCACCATAACAAGGAATAAGTAATATGTAAATGGTACAGCCATTTTCAAAAGAAATGTAGTAAGCCCTCCACTTTCATGGGGGTTCCATGGAGGATCTAGAGATTCCTAGAGAGAACATATTAATCCAGTCCATGATCAAAAATTTAAACCTGCAACTGTGGAGGAACCAACTGTATACCAATTGCTAAGGGAAAGAGAACGAGACAAACAATAGGGAGCCCATAGTTTCATGCTCAGATTTTAAACTTGCACCTATCTTTGATTGCTTCTGGATCTTGTTCTCCTCTCTTAACCAGCCGGGCTCTTCTTGTATTCATGTGATTTGTCAGTTGCCATATTTCTCTATCTGCTGCTCTCTTTTCATCTATCATTTCTTCTTCCTTTATGCTAAAGGGTAATCTGAATCTTGGACTCAAGCAACCCAGGATCCTCATCACACAGAATCACATTACTGATCTTCTCTTTCTCTCTTTTTCCACCAGGAATCAACGACTTGCCATATTACCACCAGTCCAACTCAGTGGGAAATCATCACACCTATGGGATGGGGCCTGGAGGTGAACAATCTTCTCATACAGATGGTGAGCTTTTCCAGAATAAATAAAAATGTTGTAAAGCAGTGCTTTTAAGTTGGAAAGATTAGCTGTTTACAAGAAATGTTGCCCAGGGGACGCCTGACTGTATTTACTCAGTCTTTGAGGAGGCTCTTTCCGTGTCCCCTGTTCGGCACAAGTCTGCCCATATGAAGCAGGTGAATATAGCACTGAACGAAACATGTAGAATAATCACAGGATGTCTCAAACCTACACCTGTTGATAGACTCTATAAGCTAGCTGGCATTGCCCCACTCCCTGATGTGCGACGGGAAGTTGCTGCCAACTGTGAGAGAAATAAGGTTGAACACTGTGAAAGCCACTCACTGTATGGCTATCAGCCTCCTCCCAGTAGGTGCAAATCAAGGAAAAGTTTTATGAGAACCATGACTCATCCTAATGTTTCCCCAGTAGCAGTAAGGGTATCCCTCTGGGCAGCTAAACCAGGAAATCCCAAATGGATGCCCCCCCCCCCCCGCTCCCACGAGGGTCTTCCTCCAGGGGCAAACCAAGAATGGGCAACTTGGAAGTCCCTGAACAGACTCTCAGAAGTGGAGTGAGCAGATCAAAAGAAAACCTGGCTAAATGGCACTACCTAGAAGAATCCTCCACCTTGTGAGACCGTGGAGCAGAACAAACAACTCAACATCTGTATGCTTGCCCAGAATGCCCTGCCTCATACACAGAAGAAGAACTGTTTAAAGCTACAGACTATGCGGTTGCTGTTGCCTAATTTTGGTCTAAAATGATGTAGCTGCTTGTATTCCCTCTATTTCATCAGTTTTATACTAACCTATTTATGCAATGCTTTTGACACAAAATAAATAAATATACAGAATAAATAGACCAGAATAGGAGTTAATGTGAAATGAAATAATGGGGGAAAGAAAATGAAACCACTACGCCATAGAGATCTGTGAAGAAAGGAGGTAGGCAGAAAGGCGCATGCAGAGGTATGGCTGAAGTCTTCAGATACTGTCCTTGCTAAAAAAGGAGGGCTGTGTTCATTTTTAAAATCAACCTTTTGACTGCATCAGCCTGTATGGCGAGAAGCGTCATGCAAAATATGTGTCCAAATGTGAAGATATGTGGAACATGGGGCAAAAAGGGAATGTTTTTCCTCAAATTCTTCAGTTCCATCATAATTTTTAACTTTTTCTCCTTTCCCCCTAGTACTTAGGACCTTTCTATCAGTGCCTCTTTTTCTATAATGCCTTCATTTCTTTTAGTTTTTATACATATCTCTGTTCGAATACCACCAATTGCTTATTATCACATGCCAGTGTTAGAATTGCAGACTACTGTGAACCATCACATATAATGCCATCTGTCCCTCACCAGTAGACCTGCTTCTGTCAGCAGAGGCATGTTTCTAACTTTATGTTATATCACTGCTTCCTTTTTACCTTTAGCTAAGTGGTTACTGGCATAAATCCATGACCAGTCTTAGCTTCTTTGTGAACCTTTCATTCAGAAGCTTATAGCTGTGTGATGGGTTCCTGCCTTATAAACTCATGCGCCAGAAAACCCTCACCACCAGTGTAGCTGTAAGGTTTGTCTGTGTGTAAAGGAGAGGGAGAGAAGGTGATATAAACAGAAGTGACCTAAGACTACAAAATCTCTGGCTTGTAACAAAGCATAAGATTTCAGATAATAATTATAATATCTTTATTTATATCCCATCCCATCTCTCAAGAGGGACTCAGGGTGGCTTAAGATATGCACTTTCTTACATGACACTTATGGTTCCTATAAGCAATAGCCTTTCTAACCAACTCTCACAATTCATGCTTGAGTTAATGTCCCAAACTGTAATAGCAGTTTCCCTCCTCAGGACATCCTTAGATGATCTAAAGAGGCTCACAGAGAAAAAAAATTCCTAAGATATTAGGTCCTGACACAAGGTTTGCATCCCCATTCACAGTAATGTCTTCCTTCTATGAGAGATGTCATCATTCAATGGCTGGGCATATGCTTTGTCCACATTGAATCCTGTGTCCTATCAGTGGTTGACTCTTCATGGCCAATTCCACAATCTAAAATGCAGGAGAGTCACATTCAGCAGTAACTGTACTGAGATAGAAAGACCAATGGTTTTGATTCAGTCTAAGGTAAATTGGAGCCCCCCGTGGCGCAGTGGGTTAAACCGCTGAGCTGCTAAACTTGTTGACCAAAAGGTTGCAGGTTCGAATCCAGGGAGCTGCATGAGCTTCCACTGTCAGCCCCAGCTTCTGACAACCTTGCAGTTCGAAAATATGCAAATGTGAGTAGATCGATAGGTACCGGTGGGGAGGTAACGGCACTCCATGCAGTCATGCTGGCCACATGACCTTGGAAGTGTCTACAGACAACGCCGGCTCTTTGGCTTAGAAATGGAGGTGAGCACCACCCCCCAGAGTCAGACACGACTGGACTTAATGTTAGGAGAAAACCTTTATATTTACCTAAGGTAACACTGTGGATGTTTTTTCCTCTTTCCTACCAGGAACGTGCTTTTCTACACCCCGAAACACAGCCAAGCTGACAAAGAAGAGAGCACTGTCCATCTCCCCACTCTCAGATGCCAGCATTGACCTGCAAACTGTCATCCGCACTTCCCCCAATTCACTGGTGGCTTACATAAACTCTCGGTGTGCCTCATCTGGGGGCTCCTATGGGCATCTCTCCATTGGTACCGTTAGGTAGGTGTCTACTTTTTCCCAGTGACCTAGAGTAAGAAGGGGGACTTCTATACAGTGGTGTCAAACCTGTGACCTTTCAGGTGTTTTGGACTTCAGCTCCCAGGTTTTCTGGCCATTGAGCTAGTTTAGGGCTTTCGGGAGTTGGTCTGAAACATCCGGAGGTCCACAAGTTTGTCCTTGATTGTTGAGTCCCATCAATATATCAGCTCCATGTCAGGTAACTCCTAAGCCCTGCACTGCTTTTGGCACTGCTGCCCAAACTGGCCATCCTCATTGGACAATTATCTCTCTTGTGATCTCTGTTACTCCTCCAATAAATGTAACTTAACACATCCTGAATCTTTTGTTTACTTGGAGGGAAGGCTATGCCCCTCAGCTGTCTTGGTCAAATCCCAAGAGAATCCATTATCAAAAAAGGTGCTGCCCATTTGTCTCAAGTATGAGGACTAAAAGCATGCTTTTAACCTTTTGTGTTTGAGGAAATCAAGAAAGGGAATTGATATTCTCGGGAAGTTGTATCTCTTTTGCTGTCCCCCTTTGGAACGGATGGCAAACTAGCTCACCACTGATATTGTGCAAATACTTGTTATGAATGTTCAATATGTAAATGCTACTGATGTGCACACTTCGTGCTTTCTTCTATCATCTCGTCCAGCCCTTCCCTTGGATACCAGAGCCCCATGGGCCACCAGAAATCTCAGGGAGTGTCATTTGGCCACAATCCAGCAATGCTCCCTTGCGGCTCTCATGAACACATGCCCAGTAGGCCAGGAATGATGCACCATATGCCGCCACCCCGTGGGATGCTGAAGCACTGCCAGGTGAGTGGTTACCAACTCCACCATCCGCCCCTTCTCAACATGTCACTCTTGGAAGCACATAAATACCCTTGGCATGGAGGAAAACAAGCAAATTATTTCACAAATTCCTTTCCCCAGATATAATACCCAAGGGTGCCTTAGTACTCTCAGCAGGCCCCTAGTGATCTCCTCCATCAGTTTGGGGGAGAAAAGGTGGTGGTGGGAATGGCCATGACACGAGGGAGAAGGGCTTCATGTGGGTATGGGGCTTTAGTTGAAGAGGGCCCCATCACCTGGAGCTCTTGCCATCTCTCTCCCACAGCTGAAGTCAGAGCCCAGCCTGGGCAGCCCTCTGGATGCCCTGAGCACCAAGTGCCTGGAGGAGTGCTCGGAGGGGGACATTTCCAGCCCAGCCTCTACAGGGACACAGGTAACACCAGGCCAATGTGGTGTGCTACACACACAAGTTCCCCTTCTCCCCAACATATAGCCCTGTAGAAAAGAATGGATGGGTCCATTGAGAGCAGAAGAGCCTTTGCTATGAACTAACACATACATGAAATCACATAACATCCAAGTCAGATCAGTCCCTGCATGGCAGCCTCCTTCAGGATCTCACACAGAAGTCCTTCCTTTCCCACTTTTCCACCTGAGATGCCTGGAGGTGCTGCAAAATAGGAGCTTTTACATGTAAAACATCATCTTAAGCAGATCTATGGCTTCACCCTCTGCCTGAAGATTATAGTGGAGAGCCGATGAGAGAGTGAAGGAGACTCATGGGCATCACCAAGCCCCTTGACTTGTAACTCTTCCAGGGTTGTAGAACAGCAGCTCCCATCTACATAGCAAATGGTGAAGGATAACTTTATGTATGTAACAGAGTTTTTATTTCTGAATTATAAATATCATTTCTTAATTGGTCCTATCATAAAAACATGGAAAATATTTATTAAATTGCCAAAACTTTGTAGGTTTTTTCGGGCTATATGGCCATGGTCTAGAGGCATATTCTCCTGACGTTTTGCCTGCATCTATGGCAAGCATCCTCAGAGGTAATGAGGTTGCTTGCCATAGATGCAGGCAAAACGTCAGGAGAGAATGCCTCTAGACCATGGCCATATAGCCCGAAAAAACCTACAACAACCCAGTGATTCCAGCCATGAAAGCCTTCGACAATACATTGCCAAAACTTTGTTTTTGTGGGACATCCTGCAACTCATTTTGCTATAGTTTTTCAATGACTATCTCAACCAATTCAACATAGTTTGTGGCAGCCACAAAAATGAAGTTTCTGGAGTATAACAAATACTTTCAAAGTACAGTAGAGCCTCGCTTATCCAACCTTCGCTCATCCAACATTCTGTATGTGGGTCCAGTCTGCCTCCCGCCTGGATCCACAGCTGTTTCAATAAATTGCGATGTTTTGTTGCTAAATTTGTATATACAGTAATTGCTGCATAACTTTACAGTGTATTGAACTGCTTTTCCTGTCAATTTGTTGTAAAACATGATGTTTTGGTTCTTAATTTGTAAAATCATAACATAATTTTGACATTTAATAGGCTTTTCCTTAATTATTATCCAACATTTTCGCTTATCTAATGTTCTGCCAGCCTGTTTATGCTGGATAAGCGAGATTCTACTGTAAGGACCACACAATTAAACAGGAATAACACTTTCAAATTAGGAACAGAAAAAAATCAAATTTTGTGACATAGTGTAATGGGTGTTTCGGAATGAGGAGCCAACACACTTATCTGTGGAACTCTCCCTGTGAAGAAGCATACTCACAGCTACCTCCCCTGGATTGTACTGGGAATCTCAGGGCTGGGAAATTTAGCCTTTTCTCCCAAGAACTTTCTAAACATGCTTCATATCTCATCTCCATCCCAGGACCCTTTGCTTGGCATGCTGGATGCTCGGGATGAATTGGAGAAGGAAGACGGGAAAGTGGAAGCTGAGGCAGTGTATGAGACCAATTGCCACTGGGAAGGGTGCTCCAAAGAGTTTGACACCCAAGAACAGCTGGTGCACGTGAGTGATGGATCACCTAAGCGTTATTCAGATTGACTGGAACTTGCCATATCCAGTGGACTGATAAGCCATGCAAACTATATATCTCAATGCGATGCTTGCTTATTCTTGAGAATGTTTTGCCAAGATAAGAGTGGATAAGAATCAGAACTATGAGGAACAATGATACTTTGTGGTGGTAGCTCCCTACATTCAAAAGGCTATTCTTTCTCACTGACATTAATACTAGAGGTGCAAAGAAGACTACAATTTTTCCCAACCTCAAGTATTTCAATGTGTTGAAAAGTCCTGTTGAGAAAATGGTCAACTACCATGATATTCTTTTCACTCTCGAGTAATTTTTCACATTTTGGAACTTTTTTAATGCACATTTTTGTATGTAAAACCATTTCCAGTACAAAATACTATATAACTCAAGTATAAGCTGAGTTTTTCAGCCCTTTTTTTTTGGCTGACCATCCCCCCAGCTTATACTTGAGTCAAGGCTATTTATTATTTTACTCTGTTAGAACTATTTTATTACAATTATTATTTGACTGTATTTATTATTATTATTATTATTATTATTATTATTATTATTATTTTGCTTTGTTTATTATTATTACATTTATTATTTTATTCTTATTACTATTATTATTACATTTCCATTATTTTACTCTACTATTATTATTTTGTATTACTTTTATTATTTTACTCTCTTTATTATTATTGGAAGAATACGTAAGCACACTGACATTGAAGAAGGTTAGAATAATGGTTTAATCAGAGTTGGACAGTCTTATCTTAAATTACAGTTTAATGTAAATATTCAAAAACATTTAACCTACTGAGGCCTCAATTAATTTAATTTTCCTAGTATCTATTTTTTTAAAAAAATATTACCAGTATCTGCTGCATTTCCCATCCTCGGCTTAATCAGAGTTTGACAGTCTTATCTTAAATTACAGTTTAATGTAAATATTCAGAAACATTTAACCTACTGATGCCTCAATTAATTTTATTTTCTTATTATCTATTTTTTTAAAAAATTACCAGTATCTGCTGCATTTCCCACCCTCGGCTTATTCTCAAGTCAATACATTTTCCCAGTTTTCTGTGGTAAGATTAGGTGCCTCTGATTATATTTGGGTCAGCTTATACTTGAATATATACCATACACTGTTTTGTTGCAAAGAAAGTCCCAAAGTGAAAATTCATAGAAAAACGCACAATTAATTCTCATAATGACCTGCAGGGAAAACACATTTGAAATTATTTGTTCTTGAGTGCAAAAACCAAATCAGGATTTCTATGTGTACATAACATGTTCTTCTTTTAGCGGACACTATAATTGTGACAGTTTAGTCTCATCTGTGCAAAGAATGAATCCCCAAATGGCTTCTTCTACTGACCTCCATTCTCAGTGCTGTTTCTCTCCTTTGACCCTGCAGCACATTAATAATGAACACATTCATGGGGAGAAGAAGGAATTTGTGTGCCACTGGAGAGACTGCTCACGGGAGCAACGCCCCTTCAAGGCTCAGTACATGCTGGTTGTCCACATGAGGCGCCACACAGGAGAAAAGCCCCACAAGTGTACAGTAAGTTGGCCCCTGAAACAAAGAGCTATCTGGGCTTTGGATCTATCTGGAGCATCTGAGAGGTTGACTAAGGACAACTGTGGGAGAAACACAGCACAATACAAGTATGTCACTCTGAGCCAATGATTTTCAACTTTGGATTCACTAGATGTTTGGGATTTTTATCATCCTTAATCACTCCATCTTCCAAGGCTTCTGGAAGATGGAGTCCAAAATATTTGGAGAATCAAAGGTTGAGAGCCACTGTCCTGAGTTCTCATTCTGGGCATGCTCAGATTAACCCTTCAGCACATGATATCACAAGGAAAGTCTAAGAGGTCTGTATGTGCACCAATCGGCGTGTGAGCTGGCCATGACCTGAGCACTGGTGTGATAAGGTTTTCAAATATCTTATTCATGGATATCAAGGATATGTGAATTTTGGTTGTACGGTTTCTCCTATTATTGCAGCACATATAAATCAAGGTCCCTACATATTATGTTGTTAACACTGGACAAGCATACAACCTGATCCTGCATACAGAAAACATCATATGGATATCGTAGCTTGTTTTCTTGTTCTTTTCAAAAATAGAAGAGCAGCTATCTAGCCCTTGAAATAATAGATGAAAGCTTTTAAACATTTGAGTAGTAATTAACAATCTTGTAGGAGCCAAGAGAAGAACTAAACAGTGAACAGTGATGACACTCTTCAATGCGATATTTAGATCTTTGCCTCTGATCACAACTTAAGAAGAAGCTAGATATGCTTTGAAAATGGTGGATATGTTTATAAATTTGCAGATTGCAGAATTCTGCTTTCCTAGATGCAAAATTATGTCAGTTTTGATGCAGAATTTGGGAGAGGTGTATGGATGCTGTAGGCATTCTTGACTATAACAGAAAGAAAAAAACGCTTGTGCCGAAATCCTCTTTACTAAGTTGTTAGTAAAGGACTGGCTTTAGCACAGCAGGTTAATAACCAGCTGCAGCTGCAGTAAATCTTGCCAACCAAAAAATTGTCAGTTTGAAGTTGGGTCAGGGTGAGCTCCTGACCTTCAGTCCAGTTCCCCACCCACCTAGCGGATCAAAAACAGGAATGTGAGTAGATGAAAAGGAACTGCATTAAGCAGGGAGGTATTTTAGGTATGGTATTCAGAGAAAAAGTTTACGAACAAAGAAAGCTCTTAGACCAGTGGTTCTCAACCTGTGGTCCCCAGATGTTTTTGGCCTACAACTCCCAGAAATCCCAGCCAGTTTACCAGCTGTTAGGATTTCCGGGAATTGTAGGCCATAAACATCTGGGGACCCCAGGTTGAGAACCACTGTCTTAGACAAAGAGATGGAACAACAGCACACCCTGTGGCCGAAACCGAGTACAGCCTCCAAAGATGCCGAAAGATGGGGAAAAGCCTGTGTGTGTGTGTACACACATACATACATACACATACATACATACATACATACCTCTGTCTGTTGTCTGTCTTGTCATTGTATAATCAGCATTGAATATTTGCTATATATGTGTTTTGTGATCCACCCTGAGTCCCCATCAGGGTGAGAAGGGAAAGATATAAGTACTGTAAATAAATAAAGCCCCACAGGAATACCACCCTTAACTAACTCAGGCATCTCGTGATATAGGTGAATCAGTTACAAAGTACTACTTAATTCCTTGGTAGTTTTTAGTAGCATGTGCTGCTATGTAGAACGTACCATATACACAATGCAGCATTTGTTATCACCCTCTCAGCCAAAAAATTATTCTACATAATTTTTAAAGAGTGACATTTATTACTTGCCTTGTACTTCGCATTACACTCAGCCCTCCATATTCTCCTGGAAAAAAGGCATATGTATGTGTCTGTGTGAAGGAAGTTAGAAAGGAAGGAAGGAAGGAAGGCTTTAAGATGATCCTGCAAAATGTCATATACCTTTCTCCACTGCCTTACAGTTTGAAGGCTGCAATAAAGCCTACTCACGGCTAGAAAACCTCAAGACCCACCTGCGTTCCCACACGGGTGAGAAACCATATGTCTGCGAGCATGAAGGTTGCAATAAGGCTTTCTCCAACGCCTCAGATCGGGCCAAGCACCAGAACCGGACACACTCCAACGAGGTATGGACAGGAAGCCAGCGTGATGGCTTGAGCATAGGTCTGGGACTCTTGATACCAGGGTTTGATTCCTCATTTGGCTATGGGAACTCACTGGGCCACTCTGGCAATGTCACACTCACTCAGAACCCCCAAACCCATGATTGGGTCACAGTAAATTGGAAATGGCTTGAAGGCATACAACATCAAAAAACTGGGCAGGTAAACAGTGAGGTCAACCCCAAAATAGCCTCACCTCAAAATGGTGATTCTACCTTGTGATGTGGTGTTACCTAAAGTTTTCTCTAAAGTTGTTGTGACCAAAAGTAGTGGGGGGCATCATTCTGTGCTCTGAAAGCACCCTGGTGTAGTAGCTTAATAGTCTGTTTGTGTTCTGCCAGAAACCCTATGTCTGTAAGATCCCAGGCTGCACCAAGCGCTACACCGACCCTAGTTCGCTGCGCAAACATGTTAAGACGGTTCATGGACCAGATGCCCACGTCACCAAGAAGCACCGTGGAGACACCATGCCCACCAGCCGGACACTGGCCCTCCATGGTGACCTGAAACAAGAAAGGGATACCGAGGGCAGGAAGGAAGAAAGCAAACTTATGGTGCCTGACTCAAATTTGGTAAGCAGTCCGGGATGGAGACAGGAGTGGGGTGTCTTCTGGTGCCAAATTACTGCTTATAATAATTTTCAGAAATGGAAATCAGCTTGGGGGGTGGGTAAAGTAATTTGATAGGAATCTCTAGGTCACAAAGATTATCTTAATGGATGTGTCCAATGCTGCTCTAAAGCCAGAACAGCAAATGGAGGCATGGGATTGCAAAAAGTCAAGGGTGTCAGCAGAGGTGGCCCTAGGTAATTTTCAACTGTAAGCAAACAGTATTCCCACCCACCCCCCAATCACTGATAAATATTTTATGTTCGTCGTGGGAGTTCTGTGTGCCATATTTGGTTCAATTCCATCATTGGTGGAGTTCAGAATGCTCTTTGATTGTATGTGAACTATACATCCCAATAACTACAACTCGCATATGTCAAGGTCTATTTTCCCCCAAGAGTGCCTCAAGAGCGCCCCTGGGCAAAATCAACTATACTGCAAATGCTTACTTTGCGTAATGGATTGAGCCACCCCTGGGTGTCAGAGTAAGATTTATAGTAATCAAGAATATTTAACTGTAGTATCTAGCATAACAATTTGCACATCCCTTGGGGTGAAGAACCAGACCAAATTGTGCAAATAATGACTGGGCTTTTCCCCCTAAAGCACAAATTTTCCCCTATTGTTCAAATTGCACAGGTTCCAGGTTTTCTTAGCACAGAATAGGAATAACTTTGACACAGAAATTTAAGTTGTTTTCTACTGCTTCTCTTCCTCCTCCTTTTCCTCCCCCACTCCTCCTTTACACAACACACATTTATATATGTATATATGTAAATGCACACAGTACATTTTTTTTTCACACACGTGTTTCACTTTCCTATGTGTGAACTGCTCCTCTTTTGGAAAATGTGAATCTCCATAACCATTTGGGAAATGGGATTCATAACCTTTTTTGGAAAACCACTGGTCAATGACCTTTTGGAAATATATACAACAGAGTTTCAGAAGTATTCCTTTAGTTGCCCAAAAACATTTACACTTCCTTAAAACATATTTGTCTTTAAATCATGTTTTCAAGGGACAAAATAAACAATCTTTTTTTAAAAAAAGTAACAGAGTTGGTTTATGGGTTGTTGTAGGGTTGTTTGGGCTATATGGCCATGTTCTAGAGGTATTCTCTCCTGACGTTTCACCTGCATCTATGGCAAGCATCCTCAGAGGTAGTGAGGTGACTATTCTGAGGATGCTTGCCATAGATGCAGGCGAAACGTCAGGAGAGAATGCCTCTGGAACGTGGCCATATAGCCCCAAAAACCCTACAACAACCCAGTGATTCTGGCATGAAAGCCTTCGACAATACTGAGTTGGTTTACTCACAAAACTTCATGTATACAGCATACACGCACTTTGTTTGTTGATCCAATTACAATAGGAATTTAAGTAGTTTCTCTGTGTAGGTAACACAGGTCATCTCCCTTAGAAACAATAGTCCATAGCCCAAAAAATCTCTCTGTTTAGTCTCTAAGCATACATCTTAGTGAAGTCTAAACTGAATTGTTCCTGCAGTCTTCTAAAGCATTCAGATGGCTTCTAGTCTCGCTAAGAGTCTAATGACTTCTACAAACTAAAATGGAGTCTGAGTCTGAACATGCCTGGTTCTGATCACATGGTCTGCAGCCCCTCCCACAACAAAGATGTTAGGTAAAATTGCAAACCAAGACACACATACAATACAGTAAGCAATTATATGTATAACTAGTGGAGGCTTAAGAAGGTTGTTATTTCCAAATCCTGTGATCAAACGAAAAGAGAACAGAATAGAATGGTTTTAAATGAAGAATATGGCTGTAATTGGGACTGGTTTGGGGTCAGACTACACAATATGCTAAGGATTTGGTTTCATTTAATACATCTGCTGTTTTGCTTGTTAAATAGTGGCTGTCAGGGTCTGATAAAGATCAAGATTGCAGTGTTTTAGCACTTCCCTGTCCCTTGCTCTTGAAGAAATAGTTATCCCCAACATGGCTGTTAGAGATGAAAAATAGGTTGCATTGTTTTTCTACCAGTTTGGCTGCATCTCTCCTTTAAGGAAACCTGGTCTTTCAGTTTGATTTGAATTCATTTAATTTAATGGGAATTCATTATTATTATTATTATTATTATTATTATTATTATTATTATTATTATAAATTGATAATTCATTAGTAGGAATCATTAGCATACACATATATACAACTGAAATGTCTTGATGAAGATGGGATGATGGTTAATCTATTTGAAATCACTAGTGTAAATACTTCCAGAGTATCATCTTGGAATATAGCACATCATCTCCTGTAATGCCGATTGTAGACATTCAAGGAATTCCTAGAGACATCTTTGTATGGGGAATTACTCTGCCTTGAGCATTGAAAATATATGCTTTTGTTCATGGCACCCTGCTGAATCCAATTTCCCTTCCTTGGTTAAAAACCATCCAATAGATTAATTAGATTATGTTGAATAAGTTACAAATAGAATTCAGGGCGCTTTATAAAATATCTTTCCTTTTTCACAAATTTTTGACTTTCCCCCAATGCATTCCAAGAAGGCACTTGAAGTAATTTTGCAGGGAATGCCATGCCGAGTTGTCAGGATAACTTGGGCTGTGTTTCCCTCCCTCTCCTCCCAGAAACCGCAGCCCAGCCCTGGGGGCCAGTCCTCCTGCAGCAGCGAACGTTCGCCTTTGGGCAGTGCTAATAACAACGATAGCGGTGTGGAGATGAATGCAAACACGGGTGGCAGTTTAGAGGACCTTTCGGCACTGGAGGAGCCCTCGGAGCCCATGAGCAACTCTGGGTTGTCGGCGCTACACAGGCTAGAGAACCTGCGCATCGACAAGCTCAAGCATTTGCGCAAGCCGCTCTCTGCAAAGGGTGTCAAGCTGCCCTCTATCTCGGGAACAGGTAAGTAGGGAATGGTAGGTGAAGACTCAGACCTCAAAGAATGGTGATGGCTGAGGTCTGAGCAGAGTTTGGAGAAGTTGCTTTTGGGAATGCAATTCCCAGAATTCCACTGTCAACACTGGCTGTGCTGGCTGATAGATTCTCTGAATGAGAATCATTAAAGTTGTGCCATTGTAGATGACACAATCCGGCCCAGTGAAAAAGTTACTCTTTCGTGAAATGGAAGGCAGTGGAAAAAGAGGATTACTGATAGACTCAATAGAGTCTGCAAAGTCTGAACAGGGCAGTTGAAAACCATGGATCTGGGAGATCTCGCATTTGTAGGCCATCCCATGGCTGTAAATTTTGCTTATTACTAGTTGGTTACTTTACCTTTCCTTTTAGTCAGCTGTTCTGTTTCTTTGCAGGCTCTGCAAGAGAGATGCCTGGCTTGTGTGGGCCACCCTCTGCTGTCTCCCACCGACGCATCATGGAGCTGTCATCCAGTGATTTGCCCTCCCTACCCTTGTCGGGTGAACGCCGTGGGAGTACCACCAGTACCGTCAGTTCCGCCTACACCGTCAGCCGTCGCTCCTCCATGGTATCACCATATCTGCCAGCAGGAGGCGCCCCTAATGGGTTAGGCCCACCTGAGCCATATGATCCCATCTCTCCTGATGCCTCAAGGCGCTCCAGTGAAGCCAGCCACTGTGGGGGTCTTCCAGGGCTGGGACCCTTGACCCCAGCCCAACAATACCGTCTCAAGGCCAAGTATGCTGCAGCAACAGGAGGACCACCTCCAACTCCACTACCCAATATGGAGAGGGCAGCTCAGGCCAGCCTCATGGGAGCTTACCCAGGCTCAGGGCTGCCTCCTTTCATGCGCAGGCATAGTGCCAATGAGTACCACAGTTACAGCACTGGTCTCCTCCATCCCCACCTGGCAATGAGCCAAAATGCCCGGCGAGCCAGTGATCCTGCCCAGACAGTGGGTGAAGTCCATCCGGTTCCCAGGGTGCAGCGTTTCAAAAGTCTAAGTAACATGAGCCCAACAGGCATCAGCAGAGCCAACGGGCAAATGATAGGGGGCTCGGATGCCAATCTGCAGCGCCATCTCTTTTCACCACGGCCCCCAAGCATCAGCGAAAATGTCTTTTTGGAAACCGCAGCCATAGAGAGTGCTGGTCCAGTTGCAGAGCAAGAACTATTGGAGATGGAACCTTATCTTGGATATCAGGACCAGAACTATTCGTGCCAAACCATGAGCATGGAGCTACAGGGCAATGCAGCCCATCGTGGTTCACTCAGGGCAATAGGTGACTTGCAGGTCAGTCCAGCAGCTCATGAGCAAATAGAGGGTGGCTTTGAGCAGTCAGATTACATTCAGTCCCAATGCCAGATGAATATGTCTTTCAACCCAACACGCCAATGGGAGAGTGATGGCTCAGGGATGAATCCCACTGCATCTGCTGGCATGGGCCAGTGCCACTCAGTCCAATACCCAGTCCCTGGTACCAAGCACATGGGAGTGGAGCCTGCCAGTGAGGGCCAACATGGAACTTTCCAGCTTGGTCAACCTCACATTAAAGCTGAGCAGCAGTTCCAGTCAACTGCTCCAAATCTTTCCTCTTGTCAGGGTATGAAACAGATGCTCTACAGTCAGACTCAACCTGCTTGTGGAGGAGGAGGAGCTGGAGGTGCTGGATATCAACCAGAGAGTCAACCAGGCACTTGCTTTGGCATGAGTCATCCTCCTGGCCAGAGATCCCAGACCCCAATGCTACAAGTCAAGGAGATGATGGTGCGTAGTTATGTGCAGTCACAACAAGCTCTGATATGGGGGGAGCAGCCGGGCAGCAATACAATGATGGGAATGGATGGCATAGAGAGTGGCCAGTGTCCACCACACGAGTCTTATTCTGGCTCCAAGTATCCAGCCTACCCTGCCAGGCCTCCACAAGCAATTGATAACAAAGCACTTTCAACCTCTAGTAGCCAGTGTTACAGTCCAGGGATGGTCCCACATCCACCTGGTGGACCCAAGCCACTGAATCGGCAAAACAGTCTGAACTATCAAGCTAACCCTTCTTATGAACCCCACAACGATGGTGGCCCCCACCGGATGATGCGCTTACCTCCTCTCCAGAGCCCAGAGGAAGCTGGATTTTCTGGCCCAATGCACACGCAGTTGGGCAAAGCAGTTGGGCCCAAGCTGATGAATGCCCACCAGCGGCATCATCAGCCTCCCAGTTGTGTGGCTGAGGATCCAGGTGGGCCATACACCCATGGGCTGGAAGTCCTCAAATCAGACTCTTTTTCTTATCTGCCAGAGGAGCAAGTGTCCAACAGCTTGGATACCCTGGACTTGGAAAACACTCATTTGGACTTCACAGCCATTCTTGATGACACGGAAGCCCTCAGTCCCACTTCACCACCTGGTGGCCCTGCAAATATGGCAGTGGGGGATATGAGCTCCATGCTGAACTCACTGGCAGGGGAGAACCAGTTTTTGAACACTCTTTCCTAGTACAGTTGGGCTTATGGATGTGATCATGAGGAGTGGGAAGGAGGTACAGAAGCGTTATGTGTCAGAACCAGGCTGGCCATAAGAAGAAGCAACAGTACCTCCTGCTGGGCTGGACTTCATGACTTAAGGTTGGGGAAAGGAGCTCTGCAGTGAGAGAGAGTCTGACTAGTTATGGTATACAGTTATATTTGCCATTTAGTCTCAGACCCATGGAAAAAGCTGGGAGGGTCTTAGTTATTGAGCAATATCCTGGAAATGGAGCTGATTGAAAGATGGTAATCTGTGGGAAAATATGTGGATTTATACCACACTCCTAACTTTATCTGTTCTCTTCCACCATCTCCAGCCTACTGCTCCCCACCATCCTGCCTTACCCAATGAAGCCTGTATTCTTGAATAATAGGCATCCTATCCCTATTCAACATAAGTGCCTCTTCTTCAGAAAGTCCTATATTTTAGGAGGGCAAGATAATGTCTGTACACCTTCTGTGCTAGCATGACTGTGTCCCTAGGGCTCATCCTGCCATAAATTCTCCCACTCCTAAGAGGAATGCTTGCAAAAGCAAGACTTGCAAGTAAATTGCAAACTTCACTAGGAATTTTTCAGGAAAGATCTGTATGCCTGGACTGGCAGGAATATTCCTACTTTTGGTGGATCTTTCCTGAAAATGAGCAGACTGAGACACTCGAATGGAGAGAAAATAGCATCTGTAATACAGTTAAGTCCTTCTTTGCACATAGTAGATACCTTTCAGACCCATTTGGACTTCTGGCTTCTTAGCCTCCAAAGCTTCCATTTCGTCTGAAGCTTAGCTGGCAAAGTTAGCCCTCCTCTCCTAAGCAATCTTCTCAATGAGGATTGTTGTCCTTAGCTTTCATCCTGCCTTTCTTGCCATTAGACAAAGCCTGCAATAAGTTAAGGGTAGGATCTATTATCCTGCCAGAACCCTTGCCCTGGCAACTACTACCTGCCAAAGTTTCCAAACATACCTCTTCCAAACATACCCCTGACAGCAAGGACTGGTCATGCTTGCAGTCAAGATGAGTCGGATATTGTTTCTGTCTGATGCAAAGTTATCTCTTCCCCATTCTATACACAAAGGTGAAGCAGACTGACAGCTGAGCTGGAAAACAGTTGGTGCACTACCCAAACAGCTGCACTTTTTCAAGAGTTATGTAGCATGAGTGTGGGAAGGCAGACCTAATCTTCCACCACTGAGTAACCTGCTTCTCTAATGCCTCCTTGATTGCCACCATGCCTGTAATCGTTTCCTTCCTATTGCTGTTGACCATGCTAGTGTTGTCATATTGACATAGTACATCAACAGTATTCCAGCCGTACTTTAATCATGATGATGGGCAAGTGTTTTCCCCTGCAAATAAGGAGCTACTTCACAGCCCATGTGTCACATTGAGCTCTACCTACCAACATCTTGCTGTTGCACCTTCTCCTGCCATATCTGCCATGTAAGGTACTCAGCCTATTGGTAGGATCGGCCTTGCTTGCTGTGCAAGCAAGAGTGCAGCATTTGACCAAACAGCACCAAAGGATCATTCCACAGCTTATATTTTTTAAAATATACATATAAATGTTCTACTCCAGCTTTTTTGCCACACATAGGAATGTTTGTGGAATTTACACCCATAATTCTGTATCTAGGGACATCCCTGTGTGCATCTTTATTGGCTTGGGGCCAAGATGATTTACATGTACAACTAAAGGTAAAAAGAATAGACATATCACATAGACATGTTCACACACACAAATCTCACCCACTGCAATTGTTAGGGAGCTGGGAATGGCTGTTGGTCTCCATCCAGTAATGAGTAATGTGGGTTTACCATAAATTAATACATCAAAGTATTCATTGTGAAATATAGTTGACCAGATAATATTCAAGGATGGAAGATTTACAAGACACAGTAGCCTGTTACATATCAACACATTCACACTATAAGTTTGTGTGTGTGAGTTTGTGTGTGTCAGGAGCAACTTGAGAAACTGCAAGTCGCTTCTGTAGTGATAAAAGGGAAGAACAATATAATGCAAAACAGCGTAGTGCCTTAGACCAAATACCTGTCAATAAGTCAGAAAGTTAGCCTAACTTATAAGAAGCAACAGACTCCAAAATGTGTTTCTCCCCAGTACTGTAAACGGCCTAGCTGAGAAGAAAGTTCCTCCTTGACCCCAGATCGATTAGGGTTGGTTTACCTTGGCGTGAGCATCACTTGATTACTTTGCTGATAACCACCATCATGTGCAAACTGATTGCAATATGCAAACATGGAGGAGCTAGATTTGTGACTGACACATAGAAACACACAGACTCACAAAGGTGTAGTGTTGCATTGGTTGAAGGATCGCCCTTAATGTGTGAACTGGGACTGAATTATGGAAAAAAAATGGTTCTATCAAGTCTACCAAAAGAAAAGTGCTTTTAGAGCATATTCCCCAGACTCATGCTCTCCCTCCAATGTTTTTGAATCAGGGATGCTGTTGAAAAGCAGTGGAGGAATATGACTGCTGGGGCACGCTGTGAAAGACCAGAGTTGTAAAGACAGCCTTCCCAGGATATGTCAGTGTGACAAGAAGGTCCGTGGGCACAGCTTCTCCTGTCAGTCACTTAAATAGTGTCATATTCCACGCACCTCCTAGTGTCATCAACAGATCCTGCTACATTTGAAAGGATGGTGTATGAACAACAGGGCCAGGGAAGGTGACCGGAAGGACCTGTTGTTACCATTTCCTTCACAGCATTTGGAGAATTTAAAGGTTTACAAAGTTCTCCAGATTGCAGTCTAGCCTGGCAGTTTTAGAATAAAGTAAATATACCTGTTTCTCAATCCTGCCAACACTTGGCCTCAAAGACAGAGAAACAGTGAAGGAATACAGACAGCACCATTTCAGTGGCCCTTGGCAGAGACTGGGTCCCATAAATTGGCAACTGTATTTTTCTTGCATCCAGATTTTGATGTAATCTTACATCAGGTAAAACTTTGTCTACTCTGAATGAATGGCTGCCCAATGGTCTCACTCTGAGTCTTGTCCCAGCAATACGAGAGACTTCTCGATGGAGATGCCATGGATTTATCGAAAGCTTTCATGGCTGGAATCACTAGGTTCTTGTGGGATTTTTCGGGCTATAGGGCCATGTTCTAGAGGCATTTCTCCTGATGTTTCGCCTGCATCTATGGCAAGCATCTTCAGAGGTAGCATCTATGGCAAGTATCCTCACTACCTCTGAGGATGCTTGCCATAGATGCAGGCGAAACATCAAGAGAAATGTCTCTAGAACATGGCCCTATAGGCCGAAAAAACCCACAAGAACCTAACGCCATGGATTAATTTTAGGCCTTCTGTGTACAACATGTGCATTCCACCAGTTCCCTTTTGACTTCTGGCTGGGAACTAGATTTTTTAGTCCCATATCGCCGATCAATATTGTGGGCCACTTATATACTTCTGCGACGAGAACAAAAGTGTTGAGAGAAGAATTGGGAGGTTTTCTAACAAACATAGTGGGGTTGGGCAAAAAGCCCAGGGCAAGGTTTTAGAGCTTTCAGGTTTGAGACAAACATTAGGGGAGCATGAGTCAGACACTCACCAGTGGTGTGTAGGACATACCATTCCCCATTGTGTGAACACTCATCCCTGTGACCTCTGTTGAACAGGTTTTGGTAGTCTTCAAATACATAACTGTATTAGTTTGAAATAGCAACACTTTTGAAACTAATTGACAGAACAAAGTTAGAAGTCAACTTTCATAGACTGAGCCTACTTCTTCAGATGCATAGAGTGAAATGCCTAGGAGCAGGTCTTTATAGGCAGATCGTATATGTCGTTTTAGTATGAAAACCAGCAATAATTTTGAGACAATAGAGGCCCCTTCTACATTGCCATATACAATCCGGATTATCTACTTTGAACTGGTTTATATGGCAGTATAGACTCATTTAATCCAATTCAAAGTGGATTTTTTTTTTGTCGTGTCAGGAGTTGCTCCTGTTGTGAGAGAATTGGCCGTCTGCAAGGACGTTGCCCAGGGGACGCCCGGATGATTTTTGATGTTTTTATCATCCTTGTGGGAGGCTTCTCTCATGTCCCCGCATGAGGAGCTGGAGCTGATAGAGGGAGCTCATTCGTCTCTCCCCAGATTTGAACCTGCAACCTGTCGGTCTTCAATTCTGCCGGCACAGGACTTTAACCCACTGTGCCACCGGGGGCTCCATTCAAAGTGGATAATGTAGATTATCTGCTTTGATAATCTGGATTATATGGCAGTGTAGAAGGGGCCAGAAAATATCACATTCCACAATTGGTGATGCTTCTGTCAAACTATTTTGAGCTCTGTTATACCTATTAGCTCCAATACAACAATACTGTAGTTCAAGCACCTCCACATAGAGATGTGTTATGCCAGCACTGCACAACCCCCATTCAGAATAACGGCATTATATAATTTCACAACCCCATTGCACAATTCACAATTACAATGCAAAGTTATGCTATATGCACAACAGAAGTTTTTGCCACTGTTAGCAGAATACGCCTGTTGTGTGAAACTCATTCCACATTCGCAGTATGACTTGCATGTGTGTATATCACTAACAGGGTGCTGGCCATTGTTTGTATCCAAACTTTGAACCTTTGTACCTTTCTGCAAGGTGAAAAAGTAATTCTGCATACAACAGAACCCAGAAAAACTACCTGACACAATGTTCTCTAGCTGTACTTCCAGTGACTCTAGGTTTGTATGTTGATACTCAAATGCAGCAGCTTTCTAGGCTTCATAGGACTATTTTCCCAGCCTTATCTTGAGATTATGGGGACTCAACTCAGAGAACCTTTCCAAATGAGAAACGGACACTTTGCCATAGCACTACAACCTCTACCACTGAGCAAGCAGCACCTTTGCCTTTCCCCTTGTCTCCTTCAGGTACTTATCCCAATGTCCTGCACCTAAGCATCTTCTTCCTTCTAGGAAAAAAAAAGCCCTTAAGTTAAACATAAGAAACCAAAGAATATGCCTTTTCATCCATGTTAGCTTTTGTTTTGTATCTTTCTTTTATATTTTAGTCTGGAAGCCAAACGAATGCCTACCCTTGGGCCTGTAGATTTTCTCATCTATGGGAAGGGGAAAATAAAGTATTAAAGCAAATGAAAAGAA